AAAAAAAGCAAAAATGTTTTGACCCCACCGGGAATTGAACCCGCGCTCTGAATTTCACAAAACAGCAGCGCTAACCGCTACACCCACGGAGGGAACACGCTGGCGAAGAGAGGAGGGCGTATAGATTGCGGCGCGCGCCTTAGAAACTGAGGGGGGAGGGGTAGAGGGTTCAAAGAGGATATTGAATTGTCGTAACATATGGCGCCGTGTCCGCAAACACCACACACTGTTTTCCAGACGGCTCCCTGCTCTCTTATCTCCGCAAGAACAAGTCGAAAATCACCCTGACGGAACGCCTCCGTTTCTGCATTGAGTCTGCCGATGGTCTGGCGTATTTGGAGAAGAAACAGTGCCTCCATCGGGATATTGCCGCCAGAAATTGCCTGCTCTCGGCGACAGATGTCAGTTTTTTCTCATTTTTTGGAAAAAAAAGGGCACCCCCAACAATTTTTTGCAGCAAATAAAAATCTCTGATTTCGGTCTGTCCGACGACAAACGTACCGAAATGCATGACGATACCCTGGGGAAGGTCCCTGTGAAATGGTTGGCTCCGGAGGTGATGCAGGACAAGTTGTACTCGTTGAAAAGTGATGTTTGGGCGTATGGTAGGTGTTGGGGAGGGGCTCCCTCGAGATTTGGGGTTCTGGACATCCAGACATCCAGATATCCGGACAGACAATATCCGAACATCTGGGCATCCAGATATCCGGAAATCTGGACATCCAGATGTCCGGAAAGACAGATATCCAAACATCTGGACATCCGGAAATCTGGACAGACGGATATCCGAGCATCGAGACATCCAGACAGGCAGATATCTGGACATCCAGGTATCCGGACAGACAGATATCTGAACATCCGGACATCCGGATATCCAAATTTCCGGACAGACAGGTATCCTGACATCTGGACATCCAGAAATCCAGACAGACAGATATCCGGACATCTGGACATTCGGACAGAAAGATACCCAAATATCCGGACAGACAGATATCCTAACATCTGGACATCCGGACATCCAGATGTCCGTACAGACAGATATCTGAACGCCTGGACACCCGGAGGTCCAGAAATCCAGTCAGACAAACATCCGGATATCCGGACACCCCCACAACCGGACAGACATTTTTTTGCAGGTGTCCTGATGTGGGAGATCTACGCCGACGGTGCCGATCCCTATCCCGGAATGACAAACCTTCAGACGAGGGCCAAGATTTTTTGTGACGACTACAGAATGCCGTTTCCGGAGGTACGGTAGGGGTTCTGTAGGGGACACGGTAGGGGTACGGTAGGGGGTCCGGTAGGGGTAATGTAGGGGATACGGTAGGGGGTACTGTAGGGGTACGGTAGGGGTGCGGTAGGGGTGCGGTAGGGGGTACTGTAGAGAATACTGTAAAGGGTTGTAGACAAGTTTTTAGCCTCTAATAGAGTGGCACCCAGTTATTTAAAACCAAGGGGTCCCGATGAGTTTACTGTAAGCCCCAGGGTTCCTATGGGTTACTGTAGGTCCACGGGAACTACTAGGGGTACTGTAGGCTCCCAAACCCCTAATAGAGTGGCATCTGCATTTTTTTGGGGAACCCTCCACGGGACCTCTAATAGCGTTGCACCAAAACCTTTCACGACCTATATGGGTCTCGATGGATTACTGTAGGTCATCCCACCTAAGGTCCAGGAGTACTGTAGAAGGACACCCCCAACAATGTTTTTTCTAGAACACTCCACCACTCATTTCTGAAATTGCTCTGAAATCGTGTTGGGCCAAACTGCCCCAGGATCGTTCGACCATGAAAAGTGTGCTCTACAAACTGCGTGATCTGTCGATGCCGGTGTCCGATGTGAGCCTTCGACGATAAGAAAGAAAATGAACTGAATATGGGAATAAATTATTTTTTTGATGATCCTCTAATTGAGTGGCACCCCGAGTAATCTGAAAATTGCAGGAACAAAAAATAAAAGAAAACAAAAAATTTATTATTGAATCATCGAAAATGTTCGAAAAATATGACAACAAGATGCAATAGAAATTTGAAGTTTTGCCAAAATCGTAGCCAAAAAATAAGAGAAAATGATCCAAAAAATTATCCGAAAGGTTGATTAAAAAAGGAGCGGGAAAAAATATCGAAAAGTTTATAGATTCATGCCCTAGATGCGCCTTTAAATTCTCTACAATTTGGTCCAAAAACCAATCCGAAATCTTTATTTTCAGCCGAGTTATTGTCGAAATACTGAAAAGTTTTATTCTGAGCAATCCTACTAATATAAGCATAACTTGGCTCAAAATCGCTATTTTTGAGTTTTGAGAAGTAGAAAGGGATTGGAAAGTCAAAGAGAACAAAATACTAGTGGTGGCCTAGAAAACCAAACTTTGCGAAAGTTAGGCCAAGGAGCAATTTTTATCCTAGCTATCAAATTTTGTATTCCTAGATGCGCCTTTAAATTCCCTACATTTTGGTCAAAAAACTAACTGGAAATCTTTATTTTGAGCCGAGTTATAGTCGAAATACTGGAAAATTTTATTCTGAGCAATTGCACAAAATTGAATATAACTCGGCTCAAACTCATTATTTTTAAATTCTGAGAGGTGGAAAATGACCGGGGAGTTATTTAGACACCCATCTAAATCTGGCAGGTGGCCTAGAAAACCAAATTTTACAAAAGTTAGGCCACCAAAGTTTCTGAAGTGGTTGTCTAAGCTGAGCTTATGCAAACACTTTCCGGCGAGCCTGGGAGAGCCGAAACTCCTCAGGATTCCTCATAACTTCCAGTTCCGTCGAGATCCGAAGATCTACTAGTCCTGTTCGAGTTACCCGCCGGTAAGCCTCACGGCCCAGCCCCGTCTCTCCTCAACTGGGCGGAACCCAGTCTCCAGATGGGGCACTACACACATGGTTTGAAGGATTCGCCCCATTAGTGTGTATATGTGCCGGAATAAATTTTTGAAGGCAATGCGCCTTTAACCTGGTCCCCCCCCCCCTCTCCCACCCTACCTTGGGGGACCTTCTAGCGCGGAAGAGAAGCAGACAGTGCGCGCCTATACGCCCTCCGCCCTTCTTATAAATTGTTGCAGCGTGGCCTAGTGGTTAGCGCTGCTGTTTTGGAAAACTTGGGGGTCGGGTTCGACCCCCGTCGGGGAAAAATCTTTTTTGCTTTTTTTCTATAGGCAAACTTTGATGCCGAGGGCTCCCTGTGAGCTCAAAAAATGAAAATAGGGCTCAAAAAATTCTAAAACTACGATTTTTTGGATTTTTTGAATTTTGAATTTTTTTTTGGGTTTTCTAAAACAAGATTTTTTTGGGTTTTTGGAGTTTTGAAATTTTTTTGTGGATTTTTTGGGTTTTTTTTTTGGCTGGGGTGTCCTTCTAGGGGCTTCGGAAGGATTCTGTAGGCGTGGAAGAAAACCTGGAGGTCCTTGAGATTCTGGAAAGGGATTCTTGGGATCCTTGGGTTGCTGGAGTTGTGGAGGATGATTCTGGAGTTCTGGATTCGCATTTTGGAGATTCTTGAGAATCTGGAGACGTGGAGGAAGATTCTGGAGCAGTGGAGGAGGATTCTGGAGACATGGAGGAGGATTCTGGAGCAGTGCAGGACAATTCTGGAGTCGTGGATTTGCATTTTTATGTTCTTTGGGATGCTGGAGTCGTGGACGCGGATCCTTGGGGGTGATGAAGTCCCTGCAATTTTAAAAGACACACAGAATCTGTTCAAAAACTAATTTGCTTAAAAAAAGTTGAGGCATGGCCTAGTGGTTAGCGCGGTCGATTTTCCAAAAAAAAAAAATTTTGGGGGGTCAGGTTCGACCCCCACGGTGGCGAAATTAATTTTTCTTTTTTTCTAGGAGCTAATGGGACCTTAGAAGTGCCTGGGAATAAATTTAGGAGCTCAAAAATAGAAAATTGGCGCTAAAAATCGAATTTAGTACTTAGAAATAAAAATTTAGCTCAAAAATCGAAAATTAGGCCCGAAAAAACCAAAATTAGTAGCTAAAACTTAATGATTTGGCCCAAAAATCAAAAAAAAAATTAAAAATTCCCTAAAAATTCAAATTTTTCAAAAAAAAAACAACTTCACCTGATCAGTGCACTTTTCCGTCGTTCGTTGTTGACCCTTGTCCTCTATCCTCAATCTAGCTTTCGATCAAAATCCGGTCCTCTGGGTCTTGGTCCCGAAGCTTCGCCCTCTCCAAAAATGTTTCCTTGTCGTTGAATTGGGGCTGCTTTCCTGGCGACTGGGCTGTCATCTCCAAAAAATTCCAAGGGAATTGGCATCCTTGGCTCAGCTTGATGTGCCCTAATACTCTGTCTGGCCACCTTTGTGGGCGGAGCCGAGGGTGAGGACAGGGACTCTAAGCCTGCGGTCAGGTCTGGGATGGCCAACTCCTCCTCCAATTCCCTGGGCTCTGAGGACCTTTTGAGTGTGGTCCTGGGCTTAGAGGCCTCTTCCTTGGAGGCGCCTAAGGTCTTCGGATTTCTGCGCTTTGAGGTACGCCTTTCCGTTGTCATGGGCATTGGGGCACCATGTGCGGCGAAGAACGGGTCCCTGGGCCTAGGTCCCGATGTCGAGGGTTGGTCCTTCTCGGGGGTGCCCTCATCTGAGCTTGAGGGACATTTGGCCCAGCGCCAATTTCCTGAAGTCGAGGGTTGATTCTCCCTCTTGGGGGCTCCCTCATCTAAGCTTGAGGGCCATTTGGCACGGCGCCAATTTCCTGAGGTCGATGGTTGATTGTCCTCCTCCTCATCTGAAGCGCCGGAGGTCGACGGGCTCAAGAATGGGATGCTGGTCCTGGGTCCTGAAGTCGAGGGTTGCTCCTCATCCTTGGGGGCTCCCACTCCTGAAGTCGAGGGGTGTGCGGTCCTGCGCCAATCTCCTGAAGTCGAGGGTTGATTCTCATCCTCATCTGAAGCTTCTGACGTCGAGGGGGTGTCCGGCTCCGCGCTCCTGATCAAGGTAAAGGCTCCCGAGGCTTGATCCTTGCTCCGTAATATCCCTGGATGATACAAAAGCTCCTCACAGGTGGGTCTCGATTTCGGATCCCGGAACGTCATCTGATCGATCAACGCCTTCAAATCAAGTGACCGTCCCTCCGGGTACAG